AATGTGTATGGTGTACTACAATATGTATATAAAAGAATTTTCCCCTACATGCATGTAATAGATACCCTGAACCTCATGCACAGAATACTTTTTCAATACCACAGTTATTAAATGCGGAGTTGAACAATTTAAATTTAATCTGTTTTTTATTATTTTCATTATAGCAGTTGTCTGTGATCCAACCTCTAATGTACCAAAGCCTGCACCCCCAAAGATGCTCACAGGGGCTGCATCTGTTAAAGTTAGTTCAGTTGGTATTTTTCATTTGTTTGGTATGTGTATAATTGTAATTTTTTTTTTTTTTTTTTTTTTTTTTTGTCTGTATTTCTTCAACACATTTTTCAGAACCTTTCCTGTACAAGGTTTATAGGTACACTCTTATGAAATACCTTTCTAGGTGAAGACTGCAGTAGAGGTTCCCCAAAAACCTAGTACCACAGGGTGTGGGGGAAACAGCAGTGGATCTGGAATCCTATCCAGCGGGAGTGGAGGAGGAAGTCAACAGATACAATTATGGCAGTTTTTATTGGAACTCTTAACTGAACCAAAGGTAACAATTCCTGGTATTTTATATGTATTTCATATGTATGCAGAATCTGTGTCCTCTTCCATTGCTAAAAAGTTGATTGGTTCATATAGTGTTGATGTTGCTAGCCATATTTCACAATTGGAATTATATTTTGTCTTTATATTTCCATACTATTATATAATTCCTAAAACTGTAAATAGATTTTATGCAGAACAGTGACCAGTTAAGTCTAGAAATGACTGGTGATGTGCTGTTTTTACCAGGTGGTCACCCCATCAATGTGCCTTTCTTTTCAGTAATTTCCTTCCCATCTGCATACAGTCTTTATAAAGTTTTGTCAATTACATAATGATGTCAGATATATTAAAATAATTTACACTGCAGTGTATGTTTGTCATCATTTGTCTTTGGTGTAAACATACTAGAAACAAAACAAGTAATGAAAAGGAATAATTGGAAGATGATGTTGCAATCCATGTTTAATTAGTTTAACATAAATGCTGGGGATTCAGAATCAAGAAGATATTTATGCTCTAATTTTAACAGTACTCTACTGTATTATAAAATAATGCCTAAAGTGATATTTGCTTCCCATAATGGAAAAGTGATCCTAGATATGTTAATTCTTTATGAAAGTAGACATTTTTATGTGACATTGTAAAATTACTATATCCTTCTTTAGAATTTAACTTCAACACATGAGAATGTAATTAAATATTACAAGGGGACTCAGGGCTACAGTATACCATTTAAGGAGCTCATTCTGGAATTGCTTTTCCTTTATTATTCATGTGCCTCATTACCATCTTCACATTTAGGTTGGGTATGAAACTGAAAGATTTTTTAAATTATTAGAATTTGAAAATAATTATGTAGGTTGCCTATTCCTAAAAGATAACCCATTTATTTCTATTCAGCTCTACCCAGTAATTTCATGGTATGGTGGGGATGGAGAATTTCGATTACACCAACCTGAAGTTGTAGCAAATCTTTGGGGACAACGAAAAAGCAAGCCAAACATGAATTATGAAAAATTATCTCGAGCTCTCAGGTAAGTTACAATAAAAGTTCTAATAATGAAACATTTCTCTTTCTTTCTTTCTCCCTTTCTCTCTCTCTCTTTTTTGGTTTTTGTTGTTGTTTTTAAGTTTTCAACTTTTTAAGAAAGTTGCATGCCTGTAAGTGATATGACATTATGTATATATATATATATATATATATATATATATATATATAATATATATATATATATATATATATATATATATATATATATTAAGTGATAATACTTTTGAAACTGGAAGAGTAGCAGTTCACAATCAGCAGAACTTCAGGCTTTGCACACTTTTAGAGACTCAGGAAAGATATTAGACTTCTTAGGTTTTCTGCTATGTTCTTTGCACTGATTGCAGTTGTTTCCCCTGTAATGTCTGAGGTAATACATATATTAGAAAGACATAAACTGTAAAAATTAAGTAAATGTACATCGTTTTCAAACCCTTCCTTTGTTTAGTCATATTGTAAAGGGGTATGTTTTGTATGTTTGTTTAGTATATGATGAGCATATGAAAGAGAATACTGAAATCAGGTGAGCTTAGAGTTATTGACATACTCTAAATATGGATTAGTGAGAGGGCCTTTTTTCAGCTGATGCACAGAGTGAATATTATCATCAGGTATAGATGTTTTAAGCCATCTTTTTTTTCTGTCACAGTATGGATAAATTAATTTTATATTTGTTTGCCTGCATATAAATTTGTCTGATAACATTGCCGGTAAATCCAATTAAGATAACTATTAATAAAAAGAATAAGATATACATAGACATCCTTTTTTCTTTGCAGATACTACTATGATGGTGATATGATTGCAAAAGTTTCAGGGAAAAGATTTGTATATAGATTTGTATTAAACTTAAAGAGTGTAGTAGGATACAGTGCTGATGAGCTTCGGCAACAGGTAGAAGAATGT